AATGTTTTGTCTATTAAAATTTGATATGTATTCACCACATAATGTTCGCCTATGCTGATGCTTCTTTTCATAAAATCATCTTTTCATAATTTCCGCTTATCTTGATAATGTTAAGACTCAAGACCACTGGTAAAACCTTGTATTAGAGGATATTTCTTTCAGAGTATTCCTGTACTACAGGTAGTTCATCCATTCATAACTGTCGTCTATGGACGGTTATTCGCTCATAAATATACCATAGGCAATATACTATTTTTTACTCAGACGCTTATTTTCATAACAAGATCATACCATAACTTGCGCTTTTTTGTTAATACTTCAAATCCACTATTTTGTGTAGTATCATTTAATTTGCTGTTTAGTTGTAGACAATGAGTGTAGTTACTAAATTAAAATATCGAGTATTAGGGACGTTTTTAAAAGAACCCTCAATATTACTCTCTAAAAAACGAACACAGGCTTTCGATGGGAAATGACTTGACATGATCACCCTTGCTTAAAGAAATGTATAAGGGGACCGCCATAATGTGTTACTAGAGATACCTTACATACTCTGGTCGCATTATATTCTGCTTTATAAGTAGGTCTTTGAGACTACTGGTGGATGTTATCTAAAAGTTGTATTCACCCTATTTAGTTTAAGGTGATGAAGGACTGGTAGTCGAATTGTCCCACAATTGTATGAGCAGGTTTCATGTTTCCATCAACTCTCAAGTAGCCTTGCTTCTAGAACTAAATTATACTGACGACTGGACAGGAATGCTGTTTTTACCTCGTCCAGGTCTCGTAGGCGTCTCCGGTCGAGCTCGAACCCGGATTGTGTTAGTGTAGCGAATAGTCTCGACACGTTAACCACTTCTCCCGACTGCCACGAGTATCCTCGGTTCGCATGACAGAAATGATATGGGAAAGGCCTAAGCTACTTTGAAAGGCACTTCTTTTCTGTTAACCGAGGGCATTCGTGGTTATTATGCCGAGACTATTCGCTTTACTGCCTCATTTCGGTTTCGAGTCTTGTTTCGAGTGCCTATTGAGACTTGGACGAGGTCGAAAATGCAATCCAACCTTGATGATACAACATTTTTGGAAGTAAGGCCATGTGAAAGTCAATGCAAATGTGGGGCCTACTCGTCTGATTGTTGGAAAACTCAACTACCAGACTTTCATCCCCTTAAACGAAAAAGGGCTGAATATAGTTTTAATATAACAATTGACTTATCATAAATTTTCAGATTAAAGTTGGGATGCTGACCTGGTTATATCTTCGCATTACGGTGCATTCATATTGGTTGCAGCCGTCACCATAAGATTTTGCTGCTAAAACTCAAAATGTTACTAGTTGATTTTCATGACACAACACAGCAATAACTTGTCACTAGTATAGTATTTCTCTCATGAAGCTTCTTTTGACTACCCAGAGTAGGTGGCCTGACACAAAATTGAAGCCATTGTTCCATAGTCACCCACTCATAATTCATATATGAGTGGGGTATTATTACGATATTTTATCAGTATTTGTTTCGCTTCCATAAAATGGGTACCTAAGGGGAGTAGTTTAAGCAGATCTGTTGATTTGATATTGTGAATTTAAGTCTGCCAATAATTAAACTTAGGAACTTTATAAAACTGAATTTCATAACCATTCAACTACTCGTGTAATGGGGGGGTAATTTATTTACCTGCGATTAGATCTACTTCTATTGGCATCTCTGAAAAAAGCTGGAGAGATTTGCCGCATTTGATATTTGAACGCCTCTTGGACCTAAGACTTATTTAAGCTATTTAAATAAGAGACCAACATTAATCAGCCGTATTCAAATTTCGATTAACATTTTAACTCGCATTGAAGGGAATCTCGGAATATCCAAGCCGTCTGCTTGCACAATTCTTTGTCCAACCAACTATTTATGAATCAAATATTTATTATTTGTTATCAAATACTCCAGTCTTTAGCTTCTATTGTCTCCTGTTTAAAATTATTTGCTTAACGCATTTACATAAAACGAAAGTCTTACTTTACACTATAAAAAAGCTTTGCTAAAATGGAAATGTGAATATAAATTGTTTGACCTTGTTTTCGCAACTTTATCATATTGGTAGGAAGACTTAGAGGAACGCATCCAGTCCGGAGTTCATAGTATGCATGATAATTTGCAGAGTCGTACTGTGGACGTGGTATATTCCCAGACGTTTGGCCGGCATAGTCAGTGAGCATTGCCGTTCTTATCAAATGAACCTACAGTGAGCCTAATCAAAAAAAGTCGTACCACAACATTTGTGGGTTAGCACTCAAAAGACTAGGGCATGGAAAGTCATGGACTTAGTACTACGGATAGAAACAGTATAGAAGCGGCAGAGACTAGGGCTAATTAACTGACAGTAGGTCCATGAAGCAAAGGCTTGATAATGAGAATTACTCGGACTCTTTAGCCTCAAGTTAGTCTCCCGGAAGCAGAGTGTGGGAAATAACGCCTCGAGTAGCACAGATGGGGTGGCGGGGGTCGAGTGAACTACTTGAACCAGGGAGATAGAAGACGGATCCTGTGGGACAAGAGGGAAGGAGGACCGCGTGACAATAGGGCAGACTGATCAACATTCCGAGCACAAGAGTGGAGGGGGTTGAGAAGGTAAGAAAGCCAGTGTGGAGTTTGAAGAGTTTTCGTCAAATTCGCACTAGAGGGCACACCATAACACATTAAAATATTGTCAAGGGACTTTCACTTTGTATCAAAGGTAAACTGCGTCAACCTTAACGTTGTATAAAAGCCAAACGGCTGCAACGGGATTCATCCGTCCTCTTCTGGTGAGATCGACCTACGAATCATTTCTTTATGCACTTTGATACGAAATGAAAGTCTCCTCAACAAATTTATCTCAGGAGATTCATCGAAACCTAGTTTCTCTTCTTATCAAATTTTAATAAGCAAGTAAAATTGTGATAGTGATGACGTAATACGAGGATATAGGATTGGTGATTAGCCCAGAGCGGAAGGAGAGATACCACGATTATTTAGCAGAAAATTGGTCAAAAGATCGACTTCACTCGTCTCTTTGACGAGTTGTAATATGGTGATAAGAATGGCGAGGTTCACTGATAATGCCGACTACGATTTCGGCGTAATGTTTGGGAATGTACCTTAAGGCATCCTTTAATGAAATTAAGAAAATAATAGACCTAACATGGCGTCTGGCTGCAATCCGAACCACTTCTTATACTCTTGTTTTGTCGTTTCTTTGAGTAATTATTTGTGATATCCTTGCAGATGGTGAATGTTGATTCGTTTGTTGCCGAGTAAACTTTTTTTTTTCAAAGGGATCTGCAATGTTTGTTTAGGCAATATGCAAAGTTTTTGCTGATCCTACCTTCTTCAAGTCTCCTGTTCATTAGATTTTTCTCGGTCAGTATTTCGATAGCCTCTCGGATCTTGCGTTTTCTCGTATTTTCACCACATGCAGCCAACATTTCGTTCGATTTCCAATCAATTTCGTACTTCGTTCGTGCAATGTGTTCCGCTATTTCGGATCTTTTCGTATTCATGTACCTGCAGAGTCTGATGTTCCTTGATTCGTAGGCCGATTTTTCTTCCTGTTTCACCGATATACTTCTGCTCACAGTTTCGCATTTGATGCGATAAACCCCCGAAAAATCAAGTTTGTCCGTCTTCTTGTGTTGCGTCGGCAGACTTGTGAAAAGTGTTTTCTTCTTTCTTATCACCCTGATGTTCCATTTCCTTAGTAACGGTCGCAATTGTTGGCTCAGTTGTGATAAGGGCAGGCAAATCCACTTCTGGTCGCCTTCCTGATTCCTGATCTAATTTTCATAAAATCCAAGCTGAAATTGGCCCTTTTATCACCTCTAGATTTTTTTCTATAAGTGCTCTGGAATATCCGTTACTAAGGCAAATCCGTGTCAAATTGTCCAACTCCTCGTCCCAGAACTCAGTGTCCGTTAGTCGTAAGCTTCTGATGCTCGAACTCCTTAGTATCTCAATTGTCAGTCTGTAGTTATGATGAGAGTTAAATTAAGGATTATTCCTGCATACGAATTCTTTCTGTATAGTCTCCTCATGAGTATGCCCTTGGAGCGTATGATTTCAATATCCAGAAACGGTAGCCGATTTGTAGGTTGGCATACAAGAGACTAAGGCATGGCAAGTCAAAGACTTGGTATTAGAAATAGGAACAGGATAGACGTGGCGGCGATGGGAGCTAGTGGGCTGATACTAGGTTTTATAAGGGCCGTGGTACATGTGGCAAAGGCATGACCATGAGACTTACTCAGAGGCTTTAGCCTCGAATTAGTCACCCAGCCGCAGAGGAGGGGTAATAACACTTCGAGTAGCAGATAGAGATAAATACTTGAGCCATAGAGATCGCAGGTGGATTCTACGGGGCAAGAGAGAGACTGTGGTAAGACCTAGAGAAGGAAGACTGCGTAACAATAGGGCAGACTCTGATCAACATTCCCAGCACAGCGATGGAGGGGGGGTGAGAAGA